ATAGACCAATATTAAAAAGATTGTTAAGATTAATCGAATACTTGTAGTGAGCTTATATTTTAAACACTAACAAATTGTTCGAAAAAGAAAAATGTTTGAATTACCACATGGATTATGTGTGTCTAATTCTAAGATATGCACCTTTGAGTTCATACACCGAAAGAATAATCGCCACCAATATACCAATAATAATACCTAGAACAGATGAAAAGAAAAAGAAAATTATAAAAGATATTGCCGTTGTGACCGTTAGATGAAATACTACATCCAACAAACATTAGAAGTTTTATATTGGAATTAATTTCGAAGATCTCATTTAATTTTATCATAATATTTTGCAGAACAAAAGTATATTTCAGAAGTATTTGCGAAATCTCTAAAATTTCGAGTCTACAAAACACTTACGTTCAATTTGTTATAAAAAATTTTGATAGTAAATGTTGTTTCCTCTTTTAGACAGTGCATCGTATTCTTAGTTTCAATTCAAATTGAATTTTTCTTTAATAATATAATAATATAATATTTTATTATTTCCTTATTGTTTAGCTGTAAAATGTACGGGTGGTGTTGGATTTAATATACTCGAGCCCATATTGAAACATCTGACTCCTAATAAAATATGGACAACAGAGTATCATAATGAATATTTGATAAAAAAATCTTGGCACACTGTGAGAATAAAATTGCAATAACATTTTTTGCAATGAAACCCAAAAACAAATGAATAGTGGAAGATGTTTACATAGTATTGATATTAACTGTTTTACTCTGGAAAACTCGTTTTTCTTAAATAATAATTTATTTTGTTATGCATGAACTGAAATTTTAATTTTCTATGGTAATACAGATCCAATCAAAAATAATTTTTTTCGATCAGAAAATATTAGATCACCGCGCTTGACAAAAAAAAACATTTTTCAAAGTCATAATTATTAATAAATGACAAACAGTTACTTGTTACTCAGTAACATATTATTTATGAGATAGTTTTGATTATGAACAAGACTACAAATTCTGATTTGTTATAAGTGAAAGATATTACAGCTGCAGTGGCGGATCTGAAGCCTGGTTAAGGGGGGAGGGCGAATAGGAATATTTATGAGTGATATAGAGCAGAATGAATACTTGGACTTTATTTAACCAATTTATTGAAAAATAAATACAGTGCATAGTATAAATAATTAACTAGATATCTTTATTTACGTACCTATAAAAATTCACTATTCAAAAATATTAATTACAATAATAATTTAACATCTCTTTTTTCTTCATTTGCAAACTTATTAATGATTTCTTTTATATATGCAATAATGTTTTCATGTGTGTGGTACACGTAGTACAGTACACGGAGTATTTCTTGTGTGATAAGCTATTGATTATACAAATCTACGTTTGGTTATTGATGTCTATAGGAATTACATAAATCTAAAACTACAGTTTTCAAATATTCCTATACCTTATCTATATATTATAAAACCAATCGTTATAGCTAGGTCGCTTTATCACAACCTCGGTTGTATATAGAACCGTGGTCACAACTATTATTTATTATCATGAAACATCCTAATATTACAAATATATACATAATTTATAGGTATTTATAAAATTATTATATATACCTATATAAAAAATATTAAATAAATCTGTAAACAAAAAAAGCCCAAGGGGGGAAGCGATCGCCCCTCCCCCCTAAAGATCCGCCCCTGTACAGCTGTAATATTTAAATTCAAAAACAAATTACAATTTTAAATAATCATAAAATGATTAACTTATAGATATTATAATAGTACTAAGAATGTATTTTTTAAAACTCAAAACTACACCAATAATCAGAAGATATAGTTGTGGTAGGGGGTGTGCTAAGAACTTTTTTTTTGGGAGGGTAATAGGGGGATGGTTACAATTTCCACTTGACAGGGGAATACAATAGTCAATATACATCCGAAATATTATCCGTGATCATAATCACTTTTATAATAAAATAACCTCGATGAAAGTTCATGAAATTTGATTTTAATTTTATTAAATTTTTAAATATTTATTTAAATTTCGGGGGAGTTTCAACGCTCAAAACCTCTCCTTCGGCACGCCTCTGGTTATGGGAGAAGATAAAACCCAACTTATCAATTTAATATGTTTTTTACACTTTGTTGTGAATATGATACATTTAATTACATTCTTCTCTGCCGTTATAATTTAAAGCCACTGTGGGGGTATGAATGCAACTGCAATGGACTCCTCAATACGATGACGTAATTAATGAAGAAAATCCATTACATCGTAGTGAAGTAATTACTATTATTCAATTGAACAACTCAATGTGTGCTCGTTTTTTGTGTTCCGTCTATATACTAGTGATGGGAAACATCTAGATTTGCCAAAATTCGAATTCCGGAGTTTTCTCTAAAATTTTATTTTAGATTTTGAAATCCAGATTTTATTCTAAATTCGAATTTTGAATTGTGCAAAATATTAAATATTCTTATAGTATGACATAATAAAGTTTTGATAATTACACGTGTTTTATAATTAATTTAATTTTTAATTAGAATACAAAATTCCACAATGTTAAGCCCAAAAATTCCCATCACTACTATTTACAACATGCACGAAACTCTTATCAATTAATGAATAACAATGATAAGTCAACGACCACGAACTCGTAGACGTCAACAGCTGCAGTTTGACGGATGTTTATGAGCGAAGCTTGAAAATCTCTTTGCTGGCGGAAAACGTGATTCTCTTCGAGACACGGTCCAACTATGAATCAGATGTTTAACGCAACAATAACGTAATATTTCCCTCGTTACGTCCGGCACGTCTGCTCTCCCTATCACTATTTCCACTATTTCACGGTTGACGACTTCATTATTGTATCACTCTCGTTTCGTCGCAGTCAGTGTACCTCATGTATGTTCTCGGCCCTTAGTCAATTATTGCACGCGTGTGCGGACGTCACGTAAATGCACGAACGTACAGTTATTTTATTATTAATAGACAAATCATTGCGTTCCGACGTGTTAATTTTTAATAACATGTATGGACAGATGTTACGAGGATAATTTTTGTGCCCACCATCGGGTTCGGGACAAGGTAGCGTTAGCAAAAGAGGTACATTGTATGTACTTGCACTATTTTTTTACCTCTGATACAGTATAAACAATATAATTACTGTGGTTTTTGACGGGATGTTATTTTTTCTTATGTACAGTTTTCGATAATGTTTGAGACATTAAATTGATCAACTTGATGCTATGCTATATTACTATTGTGTCGTACACACTACCATGATTTATAAATTAATACGTAAAACTATACTCGTGTACATATATTAGTTATTTTATTTTGACGTGCGTTCCTATATTTTTTCAGTCCACGTACTTGAAGGATTCAACGTAGGCATTAAATGCTAAAACGCGATGTTGGATACTTGTACAAACTTATTATAATATAAAATGTTTTGAAGTATTTTATTTCATTTATATTCTATTATAAATATAAACAAAATAAATTTAACAAACGGCGATCATTCAATTTATCTATAAACCACAGACGTGTATACGAGCCGTGTCTCTTCAACACAAAATCGGATTTAATTTAAATTATCAATTTATGATAATTTAAAGTTATGATTCTAACAAAACAACGTTCAGAATTATAGTGAAAATTAAAAACAATTTTAATTATATTCGTATTAAAGAGCAATAATGATATTTTCATGATTTGAAGATCGTATTTTCTTTCCGTTCTCATAACCCAGTATTACATTTATATATTTGTCTTGTGTACTACCTGTTATTAAAGTCTGATCACGCATATAGTATAACGTACATTGATGAACTGTTATCAAATTTCCAATTTTTCTCCTAACAATGGTATATACTACGTATTTTAATTATAACAGTTGATCTAGATATTATATACAGGTTTGCCAGATATTAAAATCCCTAAAACGGGACATCATATCTTCTTCTTGTCGTATCGGTCTTTATATTCCCTTCCCTTCCCAATAAGCCGCAATATGTATTGTCTTGTCTGAAATTTCATGAGTCAATAGATCTTCTTTTTTACAAAGAATCTTCTCATCTTCTTTCAATCCCCATTTTTTCATATTACTCGCAGTTCTTCTAATTTCGGTTTGTAATCTATTTAGTGTCTTCCATATCGACCATGGTAGATGACTTCTGGTTGGTAGGCTTTCCTTCGAATTCTTCCATAGCAGTGAGTTATGGTTTTTCATTCCCTCCTTCCATAAGTTTATTATTGTTGCTTCAGATTTTTGTGATAGGCTAATTGTTGTCTTCAAAAAATATTTCCTTGACTTGAATCGTCTCCCCGTGAGATTACTTCCATTAGAGGATGTCTTAAATCTAATTCTTGTTTTGTTTTCTCTACCCTTGCTGGCACCTCTCGTCTTATGTTAGGGGTGCTATATCGCATAGTACTTGTACTTTCTGAACTAGTGTTGGCCTCAGACACCCCGTAATTAATCTGTTAGTTACATTTGGGGCCACATCTACCTTTTTGGCATGTGCTGAGTTTTTCCATGCAGCACAAGCATATTCACCCGTCGAGTAACATAATGATAAGGCTGTTCTCAAGATATGAGGGTCTGCGTCCCATTGAGAGCCAACCAGTTTTTAAAGTAAGCAGTTTCTTGTTCCTATTTTATTTCTCATGTTTTCACAATGACTTCTATATGTCAGGGCTCGATCAAGTTTAATGCCTAAGTATTTTGGTTCTTTGTAGTGCTCTAATTCTGTATCTTACCAGTTAATTCTCAATTTTCGCTTAGCGTCTTTGTTTTGTAAGTGGAAAGCGGTAATTTGTATTTTTGCTGGATTCGGTTTGAGATAATTATCATTATAATATTCCTTCATAGTATTAAGTGCGACGTTCAAACTCTCTTCCACCTCCTCGAATGTTATCAGCGTATATAAAGTACTTCGTTTGGTTTCCAATTGGTTGATCATTAGTATAAATATTAAATAAAATTGGTGCTAAAACACTTCCTTGAGGTAATCCATTGTTTTGTATTCTTCATCTGCTACTTTTGGTCTACAGTGATACAAAAAAACTAAAGAAAAATAAAAAGACTAATGATTTTTATAAATTTCGCATCTTCAGTTAGCTCATATATTTTCTTAAACAGTAACCTAAGATTTACCGTATCATATGCAGCGCTGAAGTCGATAAAAGCTGTACCTGTTATTACATTATTCTCATAACCTTTCTCTATTTCTTCAACAAGGTTGAGTATTTGCCCTGTGCATGACTTACCAGCTCTAAAGCCAGCTTGTTGCTGATTAAGCTTCCCATCTATCTTGTGGTTTATTCTATTCAGTACCATTCTCTCAAACATTTTATATGTATGACATAATAATGATACGAGTCTAAAGTTATTTGCATTTGTAGGAGCTTTTCCAGGCTTCAATAATGCCAAAACATGTGATTTGAACCATTCTGTTGGAATACTATGGGTTTCGATACAGCTATTGAACATATTTAATAGCCATTTCTCGGCTCAGGGGCCTAATTGCTTGATCTGTTCTGTCATGACTCTTTCGATGCCCGCTGCTTTCCTATTTTTCATTACTCCGATGGCCATATTTAGCTCATCCATCTCGAACAGTTTGTTGATGTCACTTGCATTATTTTTCATATCATTTAAATTTTAACTTAGTTTTCTTCCCTTTTGTTTTTGTTTTGCTATTCATTAATAATTTGTGTGCAATTTGGTCTGGTGTTATATTTATGTGTTCTTTTGGTTGTTGTTTTTCATTGTTCATGCTTTTTATTAGTCTCCAGGCTTTGTTGCTGTTATTGACCATATCTAAATCTTCAATTAATGTTATCCATTCTTTTTTTGCGTTCTTCGGCTATCCTCTTCATAATAAGTTCTCCAGCTTCAATTGTTAGCTCAGAAAAGGTTAGCAAATGGAGGTTCCTACCATGTCCCCGGGAAATCATATTAAATAACTTTTTTTTTTTTTGTAATGTCCATGTGGAAACAAAAATAAGTATATAATTTCTTAATTTAAATATTTTTTAGCTAATACAAAAATATATAATTATTATTTATACCCATATAATAATATAATAACATAATGTACAATATTATTCTATGTTTTATTATTAAATAATAGAATATTAAATATTATTTTCTCTCAGATTCTATTAACCGGGAGAAACTGAATGATCGGCTGCAACACCAAGACATGATTTTAAAACCGGGACAAATGACAAGCCTAATAATATAGCTTACTTGTTAGTTACTATAAAAGATAATCACTTCAGGTTTCTAAATTGTTATTTGTCTTGCGTTATACCTACTTATTATTTTTTAGTGTTATTAAGTGTGTTGTTTTATTCGTGTATAATTACCACAGTTTATTTTATGAAAATGCCGCTAGTCTGTAGATACTACAAATGTATTAATACTAACAATACAAATTTGTAGGTACTACAATATATATAAAGTTTTATGACTTTAAAATTAAAGGTACAAAGGTACTTACACAAAAGTAGATTACTCAAGAATGGAAGTGGCTTCATACCTATTAAATTAAATTAACACCGATGAAGTATGATTTTAATAGGAAATAAAATTTAAGGGTCCAGGGATCAGAATAATTTGATTAGATCCTTCAAATATTGGCACTAAGTAGATTATATTATAAACCCTGGCTTTCTGTTCATTCAATTTTGATTATAATGTTTAAATGAACTTCATTATATTATTATCGACATTTGCACTATACTTACTGCTACTTAGTATTACATTAAATTAATGTTCTAAGGGTGCGAGTTAAAATGATATGAACAAAATAATATTCTCTTGATATGTATGTGTTTGTGAAATAATTAAATTTTCTATAAACAAATTATTCGTTAGTACAATTAGTAACTACTAAATAGTATTAAAACCAAAATATCGTAGAGTGCATTTTTTACTTATATTATTTTCAATGAACAAATTATGTATTTGGAAAAAATCACCTTCTGATATTTATATAAATTTCTTAATTTAATTATTTGGAATATTCTGTAATTAATTATAACTTAAACGTGAATAAATAGTAGTAACTTTCAAATATTTTAAAAATAATCAATTTAAAAATCACTCCAATGAACAAAAGCTTTTATCACGTATGATTTCCAACGGAATAGTTTTTTTATGTCATATATTGGATTTTAAGTAGTGTAAATATTTTTTTATAATGACATATTTTATACCATTAATGTACTTAATTAAAAAACAAAATTACTAGATCTTAATTTTCAAAAACAAGACGATTTTTAATCTTTAAACTATTCGACACATCACTTATATGATTTACCTGATAAATGATTTTCCTAATAAAAAATTTTTCTTTTAATGTGGACCTAATATGTTCGATTGCTAGCTCCTACATCAGTAGATATTACAGTAATAATTTGTTTTTAAAAACAGTCGTTTTACATTTCCATAACTATCTGATCACAAGATTTTTAATTAAAAAAATATAATTCAATTAATTTTGAATCAATCATTTGGATTATGGCTATTAGCCATGAACAATTTTATTACGAATACCTTTTTAAATACATTTTTATTTTCAAATTAAATATTAATTAATCAATTTGTTGAATAAAATTTGCATCTTTTTTGTCAAATAGTATACTTTGATAGAAAAATTTAATTAATATGATGCAATTTATTTTACAATAATATATTTAATGACCTACCGTCTTGTTAGTTTATAATACATAATCATGAAATGCAGTTCATTCTATACGACTTCAAATTAAGTTAATTAAAATAAAAATCAAATTGAGGTTGGTTTAAGCGGTATGGAGGTATAGTTTTTGACGATGTACAAAAGCAAGGCATAAACAATAATATCCCGACTATATAAAATTGGAGTGTATCATTTAATATTGGTGATGTCTAATGCAAAAGTAACTGTCAACAGGCATCGCAATAGCTACCTTATTGAGTTGATAAATTATAATTGGTAATCCAAACACATTATGTTGTGAAGTACTGAAAATGCATTAAATATTTCAGAGTTTATCGTGGGCACCTTTAGTTGAATACATGAGCTCATCTTAACATCCTAATTATACTCAAGTCTCGTAGACGACTGGGCTGAGTAGAATCCGGTAATCGTTGTGCGATAAACAAGGCGCTTGTAAATATACCCTTCTGCATACATTTTTAATGATTTGGATAACTTGTATACCACGCTACAAATGTTCATGTAGGTGTCAGCGCTTTAAATAATCTTAAAATTTAAGTTTAATATATTTATCCGTAGAATCACGAACCTACTCCAAACATAAAAAATGTGAATTTCTTCAGCTGTTATACCAATATATCACGATGGTGATTTTTTTTTTTTTACATTTTTAATATATGCACTTTTGATTATGGTTTGGAATGGTTTCGATCTATATTAGAAGCTGGATTGGCATTTACTGCGTTATGTGTTTAATGTGTGATCTGTAATGATAAAGAATATAATCAAACAGATTGATTTCGTTAGTCACATTTATTTGGAAAAATGTAGAACTCCGTAAACAGTCAAAACACGAACGCCTAACAATATGGATATAATGCCTTGCCTTATTTTTTTTTTTTTTGTAAATTGGTGACATGTTTCTTCAAAAACTCCATTAAAACTGACATTGATCGAAAGCCCTACAAGTAGTCTTCCTTTGGGTGGTATTTCGGACAATCAATCTCGGACTCAACTGTGGGCTAAGTCGAACGTTGTTTCCGGCCATTGTGGATTATTATAAATTTTAACGTAATGTGAAAAGGTTAAGTTTATTAAACCATAGTTATTCTGTTGAAGTAATTTCAATAATCATTTCGAGAACTTTCTGAAAATGATAACGACAAGAGCATTGGCGGAAATCGGAGGGGGGGGGGGGGGCGTGGGGGGGGTTAGGCCCCCCCCCCAAAAAAAAAAGCCCACCAAGCCCCCCCAAACAATCTTGCAAACATAACAATTTTTTAGTTTTATTTTCTTAGGTATATTATATTCTTAAAAAACAAGAAATATAACACATAATAATTTTTTATACTATAAATTTGTTCGTATAATATTTTACATAATATTTTATACGAAAATTAAAATTATAAGTTGTTTTTATAACACTTCGAATACTGTCCTACAGTGATTTGTTTTATCGCCCGTCGAATAAAACAAAATATATAAAATTACCTATATTAATTTGGAAAACCAATACTGCCGATTGTCGATACAATGATAGTGTTGATTGCTGCATCGCAGCAGTAAAAATAATACACGATAATATTTTATTTATAGTTTAAATTAATTGTACGTTGTAAGTTATAACCATTTATCACTCATCATTATTTTATTTAGTTCATATCCGTTCGTCGTACTTGTATATAATATTATATACTATTTATTATTTTACTATTGTCTATTGAGTTTTGTGTGTAAAGTGTTTAAGACAGTTATTCCGCATAGTATATTATTATAATATATTAATATGTTTAGTATTTTTAATATAAAGAATAAAAGTAATACTACTAATACAATTGTGAGTTAAAATGATAAAAATTATGAAAGTATTGTGACCGTCGAGCCCGTCGAAACAGAAACGTCTGCAACAACCAGTGAAATACTTAATGATTTAGGAGACATAAATTCGGGACCGGCTCAACCTAAAACTAAAGTAGGTACCTATGATTTTATTATAATATTTTATTTATCTAAAAAATATATTAATTAATTATACAGGGTGATTCTTTTATCATAAACCACTCATTATTTCAAAAAGTTATTCATGTTTTTGAAAATATTTTTTTACATTGTTTCAAGTTGTTAAAAAATCTACGTTTTTTTAAAAAAAAAAATTATATTTTTAAATATTTTTTGATTTGAACATTGACGATTTGAAAACAACAATAAAAAAAGAAATTTTTCCAAACATTTATAAAATGTTACAAGTAGCACTTACTTTACCAGTCAGCTCTGCAACATGTGAGCGATCTTTTTCGGCTATGCGAAGAATAAAGACGTGGGTCAGAACTTCTATGCATCAAGAACGCTTTACAAATCTTTCTATTATTTACATAGAGAAGGATGTAACAAAAAATATTGATACTGAATTTATTTTGAACGAATTTTCTAAATCCTCAAGGATGATAGTTTTAAAATAAAGCATTTATTGTAATAAGATACATTTAATTATTCAACAAGACTGTTATTGTATAGTATTTTTTTTCTAATACAGTACCTATACTACATTATTAAATTTGAAATATAAAAAAAATATAATTGAACCGTAATTTTATATTTCCGTTTAGTTGTTTAGTAAAATTTTTTTCAATGTTAAATTTTAAAATTGTGTAGGATTATTTATGGGGGGTGTGGGGGGCGTAGCCCCCCGCGCCTTTGGTTTATGAGAAAAATCGTAGCCCCCCAACTTTTTCAATGGATTTCCGCTTATGGACAAGAGGATTAAACCTTCTCCCCAGCACGATAATTTCAGTCATTCTTGACACCGTTGATATAAGATTAAGTTATTGGTTACAATGATAAAGTCTTGTCTTAATTATTTAATAATTTATAAGTACTTGTTGAATATTTGTTTATATATCATTTATATTATTATTATTATTATTATAATTTCGTTACCATCAAACACGATGCTAATAATCCGATTTTTAAATATTTAATGCTGTACAACAGAAGAAAATATAAACGCTAATCAATTAAGAATTCAGCAAAATACTGGCATACGACAATACCCTTCATCGTGTTAATAAGTTATGGTTATTGTAATGTATAATTTACTGAGTCCATGGTCCTTGTCATCTATGGATATGACGGCACAATGTTAGTAGAGCAGCTTCGGCCGTTATGTATTCTTTGTCCTTGCTGACTTCAGTTTATGATGTACATTAGCATAAATTCAAGTTATGCCACCGAATAACTGCGATCCGATAATGCTCTGTAGATCGGGTTGGTCCGTCGCGTATTTCGAGAAATCCTTTAAAACACTGACATTTGGTAGTTGTTCAACAATAATATCTCTCGAACGGACACTTGCTGCGTTTGTGATATTCCTCAAATTATGTTCAAAGGCCGTGTACATGTTTGTTGGCACGTTGTTTTAAATAAACATGAGTACGCGCGTGTGTACAATGTCGACGGATACGAAACGGTCACGTGAAAAGATCAACCGCAGTACAACGCTGTATCGTTGCCATACAGAACACACAAATGACAGACGCGATGATTCATGTTTATGTACAATTAACTAGAACTGTTGTTTAGCTAATTAATTCGATTGGAAGCGATGACGAAAATATACGTATAGACGTGGATCAACGACAATTAATACCGGACTGCTAATATTATTCAGCTCATCATTGTGTTCACGCAACTGTTGACCTTGCATGCTATAAGACGATTTGATGATTTGAAAACAGTTATTAGACTAAATAAAAAATAATGCACGCTCTCGATTTAAAGTTATACAAAAACTTTTTCATGGACTTTTTCGAGAGAAAAAAAACATTTATCTACGATGACGAGATAATTGTATTGCATTAAAATTTTTTTGTATCTAGTCGAATACCTGAACCGACGAAATTTCAACCACCAATCGAATGTGATCTATTTTGATAACGAGGTTAGACCTATCTACGATGAAACACATACGACGGCATGCATAAAAGTCAATTTCGAACTATTTTCCGATCCCACCGAGTTTCAAATCTTTCAAGAACCTGACCATTTCAGTGGTTGTATTTTTGCGTGATGAAATTATGAAAAATATTGGTGCATATATGATCGACTAAAAATCAAACGAAACAATGATTGTTCGAGAACTTTTGTGGAGACGATTTCGTACAATATTTATAACCAAGAACCGATTGCACACGTATTTTTAATAGTTTTCAATGGTTTATCGTTAATCTTGCATTAAAGTATTGTGAATACCTATAAATATATTATTACACTGTGTACCAGTGGCGCCGAAGTCCTAATCGTTTAGTCAAGCGAAAAATATTTCAAAAGGCCACAATATCTAAATATCAATCCCGTCGGCATACCGGGTAGGGGGATGCGATAGTGGTTTTTACCTAAAATATATTTGATCTTAGGCTTTAAATTCGTAATGAAAATTTCATACAGTTTGACAGCCAAACATCAGGTCGATATAAAGCGACCCCATCCTAAATTTTCAAAAAATGTCAGGTCAAGGCCCGACTTCAACATAGGGTTCGGCGCCATTTCTACGTGCATATTACAATGTAATACACTAAATGACCGTTTTAAAATGGTGGCGGCGCCAACTATATCGGCAGCGTTCGTATATTTGAGCCCGTGTAGGCTCACATTTAATTAATTGACGGTTGATATTGATATTTTTTTTTTTTCTAAATCAAGAACGATTAAATCATCATAAAAACATATTATAATATTATCGACTTCAATTTTATTGGCCAACACGTCCGGAGCTGTTTAAATATATATATACACCATGCATACCAAAACAATATATTTAAAACTATTAATGATAATAATTAATATTTTTGTATAGCTACAGGGAAGACGTGGTAAGATTTATTCCCGTCAAGATAGAAACAGATATATGTATCTCATTTTTTTTTTCTTTCCTCAAAGTTCATTTGTAGAGCAAAAGTAAATAAGTTATTTCTTAGTTTCTGACTCACTTAAATGACGAATATAATATTGTATCTTATTGCCTGTTAAACTTGTTGGATATTAAATTTAAAATAAGTTTCTTATGTAAGTATATTTATATTACATATAAATACACTTAATTATAACAAAAGTATTATTATTCTTATAAAAACTATTTTCATTATTATCGATTTAAAAATTATCTATACAATTTTCATTACTCATATAATATTACAATACAATGATAGTTATCAAGGAAATATTATGCTGCCCATTCTTAATTTTTTAGGAAATCATAAAATCGTATCTATATCAAATTAATTATTTGTGTCCATTATAAAAACTAATATTGAGTGCGTAGAAAGGATACTTAATAATAACATTATATACATATTATATATATTATATTACTCCTCATTTGTTGTATACGTTCTTTAAATATAATTTCTTATTTTGATGAATGATTAAAATAACTCATGCTCAATCTTTGAAGGATTTTTTTACATGTTGTAAAATACATCTACTAAGGTTTAACATTTTAATTGAAAGTATCGGTTCATTGAACAATGGTCGATAGTTTAAATAAACCTTAAAGTATTTGAATCCGGTAAATTTTTGTATACTAGAATAATTTTATGTGTTCGTCAAAAATGGAAGGGTTCGCACTAAGAAACGTACTGTCACTTACAATAGTGTCATACGTAACTTGATAAGAATTTTAAAAATAAAAATACAGGCATCTTTTCATGTATATGATTTTCTTTGGAAAATTCACGATTTATTTACACGATAGCAGAATATATCTCATAAATAAGAGTGACTAAGAATTTTTAATGTATAACAATTCTAACACTCCAGAGTTTAGATAGAGCATCCTCGAACTTGCTTTAAATTCGTTCAAAACTTTATATTATATGATATCGACTACACGTCTTTAGGGATCTGTTTTAGCTATTTAATAATAATCAACAAGCGGAGCTTGATGCAAACAAATATTCAAATATCTTAACGTATTCACGTGTATTCGTGTGTTTGTGTGTTTGAACATAAACGAGTAAATTTCAACTATTATCAATGCGCACATTTAATTAAATACCATACTTAAATACCATCCTGTAGAGGAAGGAACAATTATATTTAAACGTGGTATACGGCGGTCTTAATTTACTCGTATAGGCTGCGGAGATAAATTTGTTCCAATTATGTAAGTGAATATTTTATTTTATCTTAGTTGCGTTATATTTTTTTATCATATAATACCAGGTACAGGAAAAATAATTTTTTTATAGAATTGACACATTTTAAAGGGACAGCTAATAACAATAGTTTGCCATTTTACGCTGATAAGACATTGCGTTATTATTATTTTGTTTCTCTGTTTGCCGAACGAGTTCATCGCTTGCACAATACACACGGCGTTACCTTACTGCTACATTAATTAAATTAAATTACAATATTATGGTGCAAGCATAAAGCCCTGATTAAAATATTGTCGGTACCGTGCATAACTTTTCAATAAGGGCCCTTAATAAAAACAAAAAACTTGTGAATTTCGTATTAAACTTTTTTGTAGTACATTATATGTCAATAAAGAGTTAATTTATTATTATTTTAATACTTGAAAAATACATTAAAATCTCTCTCTTGTTTTTTTTGTTTGATAATTCTTATGAACCATTCTATGGTCTATGATTAATATATTATTTGCATTACATAATTTTCAGGCACCTTGTATGCTGGCTGTTCTGTGTTCTAATTTATTATCCTCCTAAATTTAGAAAAAACACTTTGAGCGGAAAAATCGGCACTTGGAAGTCGGTATATTTAAATATATTTTAAGTGCCATATGTGAGCTGGGAAAAATATTTATTAAAATTTTTCCGTAAAAGTATTTCCAAAGTTAATCTTTGTAAGTATACTAAAATGTTAAATGGCATTAAATATTGATAAGTATATTATTGGGTTATGTTAAAATATTCTAACTATTTAATTATTTTATTTTTTAACTATTTAATT